ATAGCTAGCTCGTCAGAATTAACAGGTGTGTAAGGTAGTATTGAATGTTTCTGTGGACTAACATAAACGAGTATGTTCCAGAGTGCTCGGGATGGCTGGTTCGGCCTAAAAGCTCGGCCCGAACCGCTTCCGAGTCGCCTCCGCACCTTTCGCAGAACTTCCGAACCTAGCAACCCCGAGGTTTTCGCCTAGCTCGAAACTGCCCATACAATCTCATTCTGAACATCCAGTGGGCATTTATTAGGGTTTTCCACGTTTCCAAATTTAGCGCATGTCAGTTCAATTGTGAAACACGCGCGCCCATAACGAATCTCGTATGGGCGCGTTGCACGAGGTCACCATTTGGCTTGGCTCGAGTCAAAGGAGGGCGGCAGCTGCGCGTCACATGGTGGTCTGATTCGACAGCTATCGCGTCAAAGCGACAGACAGGCCACGAGAGAGCGATGGACGGCGACGAAACAGCGACAGACGACGGCGAAAAAGTAGACCGTAGGTGACGAGCGATGGACGGTACACGACGAGAGTGATAGCCGACGAGCGAGCGATAGGCGACAAGCGAGCGGTAGTAGGCGACGAGCGAGGGACAGTAGGCGACGAGCGAGTGACGTTACGCGACGAGCGAGGCGCCGTGGTCGGCGAGAGCGATGCATTCCGATTCGTGATGGCGGAGAGGCGCGACAGGAGAGGGGCGAGGAGGAGCGGCAATGGCGGGTGGGGGGAAGCACGGGCGCGCAGGCGGGGCTCCCGGCGGCTGCAGCGGCGGAAACAGCACCGTCGCTGCGAGCAGCACACGCCAGGAGCGGCGGCGAGGGGCGGTGGAAGCCCGTGCCGGTCGCGCTTGACTTAAAATCACTTCCTCGCCGCCGCCGCTTCCGCCAGCGCCACCGCCACCGCCACCGCCACCTCCCCCGCTGCGCACGCGCCTATACTGCCACCTCCGCGAGAGTCCGCGGAAATCCGTTTGCGCGCCGGTGATACGGGCTGCGCGGATGGGGCCAGCAGTAACGGGCGGCCGCGTGGAGGGGGGAAGGGAGGCGGAGCGGGGAGGGGAGGCGGAGCGGGGAGGGGAGGCGGAGCGGGGAGGGGAGGCGGAGCGGGGAGGGGAGTCACGGTTGGGGGACGGGAATGGTTGAATGCGGGCCGCGTGGCTTGGGTTTGGCTGGAACGGGAGGAGGGTTGGGAGAAGACGGCACAGAGGGCGGAGCAGGAGGGCGGAGACGGGGGTAAGGGGCAGGCGGAGGGGTGGGAAAGGGCGGGTGAGAGGGATTGGGGGAGAGCGCATGCAAGGAGCCGGGAGCGAGAGAGAAGCTCCCCCCGCATGCCTTCGGGCACAAGGGAGTGAGCACCCGCGAGCAGGGACAGTGTGAGCGGAGGCAAGAGTGGCATAATGCGGACGGCGCAGAGAGAAAGACAGGACGTGAGGGGAGAGTAACAGCCGACGAGGTGAGCAACGGGAGAGTGAAGAGACGGCGACGAGGGGAGGAATCACCGCGGAGAGAGGGCAACATAAACTGATTTCCGATCGCACAGAGGCTTGACAACAGAGGCGCGAGGAGCAGCGGCAATGGTGCGTGGAGCAAGCACGGGCGCGCAGGCGGGACGCCCGGCAGCGGCAAAGGCGAGCAGCACAGGCCGAAGCGGCAGCGGCGCGACGAGGCAGCGGAAGCCCGCGCTGGTCGCCGCTGCGCTCCGCCTGGACCACTTCCTCGCCGCTTCTGCCGCCACCACCCCCACCCCGCTACGCGAATGCGTCTTCCGCCGCCTCCGCTAGAGTCCTCGCTATTGCGCAGCAGTGGGAGGGATAGCGCAGATGGGGGATAGCTGTGACGGGCGGCCGCGCGGAGGGGGAAGGGGAGGCGGAACAGGTAGGGAGGCGCAGGGAGGGGAGCGGGACTGGAATGGGGGATGCGGCGCGCGTGCGGTTTGGGTTTGGTGGAAATGGAGGGAGGGGTTAGAGGGGAGGCAAAGCTTAGGGAGGGGAATGGGGTGCGTAAGGTTAGGGGAGGGCGGATGGAGGGCAGGCATTGGAGAGGCACGGGATGGTTGCAGCACGAGAGGCGTGAAGGGTGGTGTGCTGGCACAAGGGCGGGGTGGGAGAGTCAAGAGTAGGGTCAAAAAGGGGAGAGGGCGGGTAAGGTTAGGTGAGGGTAGGATGGAGGGTTGGTGGGAGGAGGGGAGGGTAGGATGGAGGGTTGGTGGGAGGAGGGGAAGTTAGGATGGAGGGCTGGTGGGAGGAGGGGAAGGTAGGATGGAGGGCTGGTGGGAGGAGGGGAAGGTAGGATGGAGGGCTGGCGGGAGGAGGGGAAGGTAGGATGGAGGGCTGGCGGGAGGAGGGGAAGGTAGGATGGAGGGCTGGTGGGAGGAGGGGAAGGTAGGATGGAGGAATTGTGGGAGGAGGGGAGGGCGGTCGGAGAGGAAGAAGCGGAGTTCAGGGGAGGTGAAGAGGGAGAGGGGACGAGGGGCAGGTGGATGGGAGGCGGGAGGGCAGGCAAATGCGAGGGAGGAGCAAAGCAGGAGAGAACGGAGGGGAGGGGAGGAGAGGAGGTGCCTGCCTGGACCAGGTAAGAGGCAAGGGAGGGCTAGGTGTGAGGAGGAGGATAGGGGGTGAATTGCAGAGGCAGTGCATGGCAGCAGAGGCAGTGCATGGCAGCAGAGGCAGTGCATGGCAGCAGAGGCCGTGCATGGCAGCAGAGGCCGTGCATGGTGGGATTCAAGGGGATAGCAGGGGAATTGGGGGGTTTTGATAGGACAGTTGGGTGTATTGGGGGAGGGGTAAAACTATTGTATTTAGGATGAGGATAATAGGGGTAATTTGGGGGTTTGATAGGATAACAGGGGGGATTCGGGGGGTTCGAGAGGATAACAGGGGGAATTTGGGGGGGTTGAGAGAATAATAGGGTGAATTGGGGGGGTTGTAAATATTGAAAGTGATAGATCTAGGATGTGGATAACGTGGGGAATTCGGGGGTTGAGAGGATAACAGGGAAAACGAAGGTTGAGAGGATAATAGGGGGATTTGGGGATGTTTGAGAGGATAATTGGGCGGATTCATAGAGAAATGATGGGTAATTCGTATCTTCTATCCTACGACGCCTGAAACGGACACGTATGCCACTGGTTCCGTTACTTACGGCCTTTTCCTGGACTTCACAAGGATGAAGCCATTGGCTCCTGTTTGAACGCATTCCCGCCCTCTGCCCTCTCCTTCAATGGGTGGGGGACTCCCTCCAATGTGACCCTCATTGGCCATGGCACCATCCGTCAGGCGCATTTGATGCTGCCCTCACGTCCATGCCACCACATGCATCCAGACACAGCATTCAAAGCCAACCTTTTTTGGGACCATCCGACAGGCGCCTTTGGTGCTGCCCTCACGTCCATGCCACCACATGCATCCAGACACAGCATTCAAAGCCAACTTTTTTTGTGACCATCCGTCAGGCGCCTTTGGTGCTTCCCTCACGTCCATGCCACCACATGCATCCAGACACAGCATTCAAAGCCAACTTTTTTTGGGACCATCCGTCAGGCACCTTTGGTGCTGCCCTCACGTCCATGCCACCACATGCATCCAGACACAGCATTCAAAGCCAACTTTTTTTGGGACCATCCGACAGGCGCCTTTGGTGCTGCCCTCACGTCCATGCCACCACATGCATCCAGACACAGCATTCAAAGCCAACCTTTTTTGGGACCATCCGTCAGGCGCCTTTGGTGCTGCCCTCACGTCCATGCCACCACATGCATCCAGACACAGCATTCAAAGCCAACTTTTTTTGGGACCATCCGACAGGCGCCTTTGGTGCTGCCCTCACGTCCATGCCACCACATGCGTCTGTACGCAGCATTCAAAGCCCAAACCACCCCCACCGCACCCACCCCAACCCTCCATCCCCTCAGCCCTCTCCCACTCGGCTCCGCACACCAGGCAGGTTTGACGCTGCCTTCACAACCATCATCGCATATGCCATGCAGCACACGCAGCATTCAAAGCTCAAACCACCCCCACCCACCCCACCCACCCATTCCAACCTCCCCTCTCCCCTGTCCCAAGGTGGTCTTGATACCACCCTCACGTCCATTCTGGCAGATGCAGATCGAATTCTCCACTCCCCTTCGCCCTTTTCCCGCCCCTCTGTCCTTTCCCCTCCCTTCCGCCCTTTCCCCTCCCCTCAGCCCTTCTCCCTCCCCTCAGCCCTTCCCCCTCCCCTCAGCCCTTCCCCCTCCCCTCAGCCCTTCCCCCTCCCCTCAGCCCTTCCCCCTCCCCTCTGCCCTTCCCCCTCCCCTCTGCCCTTCCCCCTCCCCTCTGCCCTTCCCCCTCCCCTCTGCCCTTCCACCTCGCCTCTGCTTTTCCACATCCCGTCCGCCCTATTCCCTACCCTCTCTCCCATGCTACCCCCACCAGGCGGTCTTGACGTGGCCCTCACATCCATCCCAGCAAGTGCGGTCGCACACAGCATTCCCAGTTCAAACCAACCCAACCCGCCCATCCTTCCTCCTTCCCCCCGCTCCCCCGCCGCCCTCTCCCCAGGCAGTCTTGACTTGGCCCTCACATCCATCCTATCAGATGTCATGATATGCAGCACTTCACACCAACCCTCCCCTCCCCTCCCCCCCCTCCTGCTTTTTGAGGCGCCTCAAAAGTCATCATATGCAGCACTTCACACCAACCCTCACCTCCCCTCCCCCCCACTCCCGCTCCGCCCTATCCCCAGGAGGTCTTGACGAGTCCTCACATCCATCCTATCAGATGCTGCTTCGCTTCATGCAACATGCTGCTCAAACCAACCCCACGCAACCCCACCCGCCCTTCCACCCTCTCCTCTCCCCCCCCACAAAGTCTCCCATGCCACCATCCATCTACCCAGGCAGTCTTGAGTGCCGTGCTCGTCCATCCCATCAGATGCTGGTGCAGGGTTGTATTGTGTCATAAAAAAAATCAGAGCATTTCTAAGAAATACTATATACTCTCAGCTGGTTAAGGGTGCTGGCGGACAGTCATGGCTCTCTCCCAGTGCCACGTGGTTAAGGTGGGTGGGGGCAGGCGAACACAGCTAAGACGGGTTCTCTCTCGCATGAGAGAGAGCCTCATGCGAGAACCTAAGACGGGTTATCAACTGTGGTGACCTCGCATGCTGACCTCCTTCCCTGTTTGCTAGGCTCCAATCGGCTACATTGCTGCATTTCTCTCACCCACTCTGCATTTCTTCTGCTTGCATTGCATTCTCCTGCCAGGTCTTCAACCGTCTTTCGAGTCGACTCAAAAAATCTCTTATGCTTGCATTGCACCACGCGCTCTCTTCCTGTACTGCATTGCCATGCCAGGCCTTGAAGTGCCCACGGCGTTGTGTGAGTGTCCTGGCCAACGTAGACGACAATGGGCGTGCATGGGCTGCATTGCATGTAACGCAATGCGTGGGTGAAATGGGGCGCATGGGCTGCATTGCATGCATGTAACGCAATGCGTGGGCGAAATGGGGCGCATGGGCTGCATTGCATGTAACGCAATGCGTGGGCGAAATGGGGCGCATGGGCTGCATTGCATGTAACGCGATGCGTGGGCGAAATGGGGCGCATGGGCTGCATTGCATGTAACGCGATGCGTGGGCGAAATGGGGCGCATGGGCTGCATTGCATGTAACGCAATGCGTGGGCGAAATGGGGCGCATGGGCTGCATTGCAGTGCCGTCAGCCTCACCCACGCATTTCGCCTCTATTCGAGTCACTTTTGGAACTCTAAATGGCCCCTTGCACCATAGTTTTCTTTTCCATTCATTCCCTCCCTGCCAGGCACCAAGCCGCCCGCGCTGCCGAGTGAGTGCGGTGGCCATTGTGGATGACAATGGGACGCACATTGTGCGGTTGCCCTCGCCCACACAATGATGGCCATTCTGGAGGACAATGGGACGCACAGGCTGCTCAAGAGCGTGCTGGCGGAGGCGGGAGGGGGGGAGCGTAGTGGGAGAAGGGGCATGAAAGGCAGGAAGCGCAGGAAGCAGTTGGTGCATGATTGGTGCGGCGCACAGGCTGCTCAAGAGCGTGCTGGCGGGAGGGGCAGGCACAAGGTGCATGAGTGGTGGTGAGGGGAAATCGCGTAGGGATTTGTGGGGACAGATGGATGGGGAGATGTTGGGGGCTGAGAGGGGCGGGGTATAGAGAGGAGCACGCTGCACATCCCCACACAGGATGGGCGAGGCAAAAGCGGATGAAGGGAGATGCAGCAGTTGGGTACGGTCTGCGGAGCAAAGGAGATGAGATGCCAGGCGCAAGGGGCCAAGCGCAGAGGGCCAGGCACAGAGGGCCAGGCACAGAGGGCCAGGCACAGAGGGCCAGGCACAGAGGGCGAGGCACAGAGGGCCAGGCACAGAGGGCCAGGCTCAAGGGGGGGTTGGGGTGGAGGAGGGGGAGCAGAGAAGAACTCTGGACCCTGAGCACACACACTTGCTCCCATCCCGCAACCCCAGCCACTGCTCAACCACCCTCCCCGATGTCAGCCAGGGAGGTGGGTGAAACAGACCGCACCCCGGATCATGCAGTGTGGATATTGAGAATGCGCGGACTCCCCTCATGCTTTCCCTCACACTTACCCCACTCCCCCCTCACGCTTTTCCTCCCTGTCTCCTCACCTCTGCTCTTTGCTGTTTCACAAGCGACTCCGAATCTCTTCTCGTCTCCCTCCCTGGTTACCACTTTTGCTAACCTCACTTGCTGACCTCAATCCTTGTTAGGTTACTGCTGGCAGCAATGCCACGTTGTCCTCACCCTTCGTTGCACCCCATCAACCCTCCTCCCGAGCTGCCAGGCATTGAATCAGCCACGCTGTCACATCAGTGCCATGGCCATTCTGGACGGCTAAGGGGCCGTGCTTGCAGTGCAGTGCCCTCACTCTCCCACCGCAGTGCCTTTTGAGTCGACTCAAAAGTCACCCTAGTGCTGCAGGGTATTTTTTAGAATTCTCAAAGATACCCTGCAGCACTGCAGTGCCTTTTGAGTCGACTCAATAGTCACCGTGCTTGCAGTGCAGTGCCCTCACTCTCCCTTAGCACTGCAGTGCCCTGCTCACTCCTCATTCTTTTCCATTCCCCTGCATTGCACTCACCCACACCTCATCTCTTATCCCTGCCAGGCCTTGAATCGCCCACGCCACTGCATATGTGCCATTGCCTTCTCTCCTCACCCCTTCCCTTTCCCTGCTTTCTCCTCCCCCCTCCACCCCCCCCACCTTCCTGCCAGGCGCTAAACCGCGCTCGCTGCTGTGTGTGTGCCGCGGAGCGCCGCTAAATTGGTAGACCCAGGGTGGCACTCGTGCATACCACACCACCCCAACATGTGTGTGGTTGGAGTGCAAAACGGAGTGGGACCAAGAAACCCAGCTAACGCTGCTCTGCTCACGTCACCAAAGCATGACGCTAGGTACCGTGCTGAATTGTCATTCCGACCCGATGAGTACCTCAAATTCACAAACGCTGGTACCGTACGGTATCTTATTGTACAATGACGCCCCCTTTCATGTGTTTCTTCATTCCCTGCCCACCAACAACCACCATACGTTTCTTCCTTCCCTGCCCACCAACAACCACCATACGTTTCTTCATTCCCTGCCCACCAACAACCACCATACGTTTCTTCATTCCCTCCCCACCAACAACCACCATACGTTTCTTCCTTCCCTGCCCACCAACAACCACCATACGTTTCTTCCTTCCCTGTCCACCAACAACCACCATACGTTTCTTCCTTCCCTGCCCAGTGGCTGTCCTTCGCTGAAGTCGTCGTAATGATTTGAGAAACTTGTACTGGTTTTCTACATAGAACGAATCACACAAAGACATAGCACCAGCTTCTACCAAAACTTGCTGCCTGTTTCAATATGCCTCAAGTGTGACATTTTTTATGTGATTTTAACTGCAAGTTGTGGTGGTGGTACCGGTAGCTTGTACTACTGGGCCATGGGCGTTCTATCAATGCCTACTGATACGGTATGACATGACTACTAGGGGTGGGTGAGATGGCGCCTGCAGCCAGGCACATCCTATGAAGCAGGATAACCTTGAAACCGCTCAACATGCTTGCAATTGCAAGACCTTTGGCAGAGCATGCAGGTGAAGCCAACTAACCTGACGTACCTCGTCTCGTATCCCGTATCAGTACAACCTCTGAATTCTGCATTGCTACTCAAAGCCAACATAAACAACAGCACCTCAGTTGCAGACAAAGAGCATTAGTCCCTCTTGCTAAGCATGCACGTGTGTGGAGGCTAAAAATAGGCAGCAAAAGAGGCTAGACTACTCCCCAGCAACATCTGTTCTCAAGTCGTACATTCTCTGGAAGCCCATCTCCTGCTCTTCCCCGACGCTGTCAATCGCGAGCTCACTCCCTTTCACCCCCAGGAACCGCAGCATCTTGAGGTCAGTCAAGTCCGCTGGCAGCACCTGCAGCTGCTTGCGCTCCCCCAAGCAGAGCCACGTCAGCCTGGTCAGCTGGGCAAAGTTGGGAGGGAGGGCGCGGATGCACGTGCCCTCAGCATTCAGCTCGTGGAGACTCTTGAGGCGCGTGAGGGACGTGGGGAGGTGCTGCAGTGCTGAGCAGTGGGACAGGCGAAGGCTCCTCAGCCTGGATAAGGCACCAATGCCATCAGGGAGGGAGGCTAGCTGCGATGCGTATTCCACGTCTAGGGACGTGAGGTGCTGTAGCAGCGTGATGCTCTCTGGCAGTTCTGTCAATCCCTTGCTGTAGTATACTTGCAGATGCCGTAGCTGCGGCAGATCGCACCCAAGGTCGCTTGGAAGCCTCTGAATCCGACTTGTGAGTGATATCTTCAGAAAGCGAAGCTGCGGGAATGGAAACCGAGGGAACGGGAACTCCTCAACGGCCTGTCCAATGGATAGATCCAGATGCTCCACGTTCTCCAGATGTTTCCAATGCTGTGCGCTGCTTCTGCTGCTGCTGCTACTGATTCTGGACATTCTTTGTCCTGCGCCCTCCAGCTTCAGAGTCAATCTCCTTAGATTCAACAGCATAGAGAGATCTGGCAGGGATGGGACTCGGTGGGGGAGTTCTAAGCTCAGGACCTCCAGAGAGCGAGGCAGGAAATTAGGAGGTTCGGTGAGCATGTGACAAGCTGTCAACTCTAACTGCTTGAGCCTCGTAAGGCTGTTCAGGCTCCCTGCTATCAAACGAAGCTGACCAAAATGCTCGATTGTGAGGATCTGGAGGCTGCTGAGAGCAGTGAAGGACGCTGGAAGCTTCCTGATTGGACAGAAACGGATATGCAGCTGCTGCAGGTTACTCAGCTTCCCTAGATCTTCAGGGAGGTCTCGTTCCATCAGGCAACTGTCCAGTTCAAGCCGAGTCAACGAAGTCAACCGGGTGAGCGAAGGCAGGAGCTGATGCACAGAAACACTGTTCAAATAGAGTGTATGAAGTTGAGGAAACCCTACAATGCAGTCTGGAATGGGGAACTCGTACTCTTCCAAGTGCATGATGCAAAGGGTCTGGAGCGATGTGAGGTTGCAGAATCCGTCGGGAAATTGGTCCATTTCACCGCATTCAGTCATGATGAAAGTTTCCAGGGATGTGAGATGGCAAAAGGAGTCTGGAAGCTCGGGGATAGGCAGCGCGTCCAGCACCAAAGTTTTTAGAACAGGCAGCTGCCCGAAATTCCCGGGCAGGCTGCGAAAGTACTCACAGGGGGAGATGGTCAAACTCTCCAAATTGCTGAGGGAAGTGAAGTTCTCGGGCAGCTCAAAAAACATCTCGCACTCGCGAATGGAGAGCTCCCGAAGGCGCGGCAGTAGCTGTGCAATGTCGTTATGAAGACGCATGTCTTTATTAAAGCCCGAGTACAGCAGCCGCTCGACGCTACCGCTCGGCTCTCCTGACGGAAACAAGTCGGGACAGCATCCCGCGAATTCCAGCGATTTTAGATTCGGAAGCTGTGCGATGGGGAGAGCAGCCGGGTGTTCGACTTGCGTTGCTTGCGATATGGAGATGCTGGTGAGGCTGCGCAGGCGCACGAGGTTGGAGAGCTGCTCGCGCGTGAGTTTCAGAGAAGCGATCAGGAGTGTCGCGAGGGAACTAAGATTCGCCAAAGCAGGGGCTTCTAACGCGGACGCGTCTGTTAGCACCAGAGTGTGCAGAGCCGTTAGCTGGAAGAAGGAAGCTGGTAGCTTCGCGTCTGGATGGAGGCAATAAAGGGAAAGCTGCTGCAGTTGAGAGCATTGCCGGAAGAAACGATCTAAGCCAGATTCGGATACGGGATGTAAATCTACCCTCGAATCGCAGTAAGGATTATATTTGTCCAGCGTATGCGTGATTCGACGTCCTACGTGGAGGGCTGTCAGTTTAGGGCCGCATGACGTGGCGAGGTGAGCGAAGAAGGCATCGTCTAGGGTTTCCACGCTGCTGTCGCTCAGATGGAGATGGGTGAGATTTGCGAAGCAGGCGACGGCGTTCGCAAGGTCTTGGCGAGAAACCACGATGTCCTTCCTTACAAAAAGCGTGGTGACGTAACGCCGAGCGATCCTTCTCCAGCGACGGCAGACCGACGCAATGAGGAGATTACGTGCGGCGTCTGCGAGGATAGGAGCGGGTAACGCCTGTAACGGAATCTTGTCGTCGTCACGGTAATCGTAGTCGAATGTGGGTTGCATGGGTTAATCTACGGACGGATCTGCGTAGATGTACCTGGGCTCGGGAGTCAACGCGGCCCATAATGCGTCGCTGGCAGATCTGCATGTGGAGGTTGACGGCTGCTGATTGGAGGAGGAGTGCCAGAGGATCTTGATGAGCAGCTCCTCGGGAAGACCGTGGATGGGGCAGCTGCGGTCCATTTTCTATCGGGGTAGAGGCTGAAAGTACGCGCCGATGTGCGGAGAGTAAGAGGATGCTACGAGAGCGAGCCGATGCGAAGAGAGCGAGCCGATGCGACGCGAGGGAGCTGATGAAAGAGGCATGAGGCATATGCGGTACTTTAGGGCTGTAGTCTCTGGGACTTAACAAAAAATCTGGCAGCTGTGACGACAAAGAAACGAGCCGCGAAACTGGAGGCAAAATCCGTTCCCGCTACGTCCTCGATGCAGGTTTTAGGATACGCGCAATGTGAAGCAGCAGCAGCCATTCTAGAACCCTCCTCCCTAATTCTCCCTCATGAAGCGCTGAGCAGACTGTCACAAGAGGGCAGCAGGTGAAGCCCAAAAACCGTCAAAAACCGTTTAAGAACTTACTGAAACGCACACCGATCAGCAAAAGGCGGCAACCGTTGGTTGCAATTTGGCTGGCGGTTCTTGCAGAACGTGGTTGCTTCTGACCTGACGAAGCACTTTGCTCTGGTGCACTGAGGGTGTGTCTTCGGGTGCCCCTCGGTGCGGTACGTTGCAGAACGTTTCGTTTCTTACAAGAGAGTGGTTATGAAGGGTTGAGACCTGTCTGAGCAGATTCAACAGCTGAGCCAAGCCAAGCCTGCCAGAACCTCCCCAATTACAGCTTCGAGCCTGATTTTTGCCGAGGCTCGCGGTCTCGAGCCTGTCCCCCTCGCCTTCTGTGATGAGTTGTGTTACCGAATATTGGCGATGTCGCAATCACCTCACAGTAGTGGTCAGTAATGACGAAGAAGTGTGTGCGAAAATCAATCGCTTTCCGCCCACACACTTAGCCGTCAAGCATCTTCCAATCTTTGATTGGGTATGCATGCAGTTGTACGTAACGGTAGGAGCTGATTATAAGACGAGTCGCGCCAAGCTTGCGTTTCACGCCGCTAACAGCAGCGACGGGCTAATTCGTTTCTTGAATCACGGCTCCGCACATGACAAGTGCATTTCACATCAATTCCCGTCCCGTCGATCTCCTCATTCGCATTCCATGCATCACGACTCCACATGACGACCTGGCGAGCCCGCTTTCAGGCCCTACCTGCTCGTCACTTGTCTGATTCCGCTTGAGCTGCCGAGAAACCTTTCCCTCTTTGGTCCTGCCTGCTCCACTCGCTGCGAGCCTCCGGATTCGAGCTACTATCCCGCCATCCCGCCCCGCGAACCCACGGCTCGACCCGACTTCCCCCACGCGCTCGTGTGCCGCCGATGGCTCTCCCTCGCGCGCCTCGCCCTGCCGTCGCTCTACCGCGCGACGGATGTCTTCTTGTGCCCCCGCGAGGTCACCATCTCCACTCTCGCATTTCCCCAGTCGTTAGGTACCTCGACGTGACGCTCCTTCTCCCCTCCCCCCCCAGATTTTTATTTATAAAAAAAAAATCTTTTCAGACCCGCCCCCCCCCCCCCCCTCGTCCCCCCCTACCCTCCACCCCCTCCCCTCACCCCGCTTCCCCTCGACGTGACGATGCGACATTGGCAGTCGAAGGACGTTCGGAGAGCGTCAGGTAGTGGCGCAAACGCTACTGCGTCGGAGCGACGGATAGGCGACGACAGAGGGCGACGTACGGCGATGAGAGAGCGACGGACTGCGACGCGAGCAACGGATTGCGAGATAGAACGACGGAATGCGACGATTGAGCGGCCGTCGACGGCGATAAACCGACAAAAACCGTTTCGCCATGGCAGAGAGCTGCGGCAGCGGCATATGCGCGAGGAGCAGCAGTAATGGCGGGTGGGGCCAGCACGCGCGCGCAGGCGGGGCTCTCAGCGGCGAACAGCGAAACAGCATGTGTCGCTGCGAGCAGCACAGGCCGGAGTGGGCGGCGGCGGCGGCGGCGGCGGCGGCGGTGGTGGTGGTGGAGGCGGTGGAGGCGGTGGAGGTGGCGGTGTGAAGAGGGGGCGCATGCCCCTTCCGCCGCTTCCGCGAGAGGGAGTGTGAGTGGGTGGGGGAGCGCAAACGGGGGTAGCAGTGACGGGCGGCTTTACAGGGGTGAAAGGGAGGCGGAGCGCGGAGGGGAGGGGAAAAGGGGGATGCGGGTGCGTGTGGTTTGAGTTTGGCAGACGCGAGGGGGGGGGGGAAGGGGGGGGGGGGGGGGCAGGAACAGGCAGAACAGGGGGCGAAGCAGGAGAGCAGGGGTGGGGAAGGGTGAGAGGGAGAGAAGTGGGGAATCATTCGCCAAAAGCAAGAAGAGGGGGCGCGAGGGGGGGTGCGATGGGTCTCATGGGGAAGCAAGCGGAGAAGGGGAGTGCAGGTGGAGCCTAGGGAGGAGAGAGATCTTGCAAAGCTTTAGGAGATAATGAAAAGAAAATCACACCCACGTGCGAAGCAGTTGGCGAGAACAAGATGCATTGGTGTGGAGGCAAGCAGCTGGCGAGGCATCGAGTTGACCCCTTACTGCCAAATACCACAGATGAGTTACAGCCATGTTCCGTAACAATTGCATGTTTCCTCACAACCCTGACCTTCACTGCACCCACGCCCTCCCTCATATTCCCCCGCTTGCTCCTCCCCCGCTTGTTCCTCCCACGCACCGCCCCCCTCGTCTGTGTCTCCCCCAGGTCGGGAATGCCAACCCGGTGGTCACACGGAGCTGAATACACTGCTGGCTGCACTACTGGCCAGCCCCTCTTCCTCCCTCCCACCTCCTCCCTGCTCACTTTCACTCTCTCCCCTCTCTGGCCCGTCTCTCTTCTCCCCCCCTCCGCAGCCCCTCCCAGGTACGTCTAGGCCGACCCCTCGGCGGCGGTAGCAGCAGCGGCGGCAGCAGCGGCAGCAGCAGCAGTGGCTGACGAAGCCCGCGCCAGCGCCGGCGCCGGCGGCACTGCCGGCGAAGGGGGAGCAGGGGACGGAGCAAGAGGGCGGAGGTGGGGAGAAGGGGCAAGCGAAGGGTGGGGATAGGCGGGAGGAGGGGCAAGGAGAAGACGGGAGAGAGAGGCAGGTGGATAGAGAACAAGTGGGTAGGCAAAGGCGACGGAGGAGAAGGGACGGCGATATTGGGAGGGCAAGCAGGGGAGGAGAACGGAGGGGAAAGAAAAGGCAAAGAAGACAGCGCGGTGAAAAGGCAAAATCAATGCACCACTGACATTGACGTGAATGCATGCATCTGGTGAGGCGACTCAACAACACTCTGCGAAGCAAAGCGGGCACTGAGGCGAGGAGATAAGCAGCAGGTGAGGCAAGCAGCAGGTTAGGCAAGCAGCAGAGAAGGCAAGCAGCAGGTTAGGCAAGCAGCAGAGAAGGCAAGCAGCAGGTGAGTCCGAGGAAGGAGTTTTGAGAATAAGTCAAGCACCTCATGTAAAACAAAGGCGGCGCTTTGTTTTGTACATGTTGAGGTGCAAAACAAAGGTGCGCTCGATCAACATGTATGTAGTGGCGGTGGAAAGGCAAAATCAGCCAACCATTACATTGACGTGGGGGCACGCAGCAGGTGGGGCTGGGCGAGGAGTATTTGAGATCAAAAACAACTCATTGTGCAAAGCAAAGGCGCGCTCAGCCAACAACATGCATTGGTGCGGAGGCAAGCACCCGAGCTCAATGCATTGGTGCGGAGGCAAGCACCCCAGCTCAATGCATTGGTGCGGAGGCAAGCACCCCAGCTCAATGCATTGGTGCGGAGGCAAGCACCCCAGCTCAATGCATTGGTGCGGAGGCAAGCACCCCAGCTCAATGCATTGGTGCGGAGGCAAGCACCCGAGCTCAATGCATTGGTGCGGAGGCAAGCACCCCAGCTCAATGCATTGGTGCGGAGGCAAGCACCCCAGCTCAATGCATTGGTGCGGAGGCAAGCACCCGAGCTCAATGCATTGGTGCGGAGGCAAGCACCCCAGCTCAATGCATTGGTGCGGAGGCAAGCACCCGAGCTCAATGCATTGGTGCGGAGGCAAGCACCCCAGCTCAATGCATTGGTGCGGAGGCAAGCACCCCAGCTCAATGCATTGGTGCGGAGGCAAGCACCCGAGCTCAATGCATTGGTGCGGAGGCAAGCACCCCAGCTCAGTGCACTAGGGGCCGTGCTGCTTGCAGGGCTGCTGCTGCGTACCTTATTCCTCCCTTCCGTTCTTCCCCCTCCTCCCTCCAACTTCCCGTTTCTTTCTCCCAACCTCCCCCTCGCCCTTCCCCTGGTACATCCAGTAGGTGGTCAGTTCCGAGCTCAATGCCTCCGCACCGCAGCCCACCACCTGTGCACTGCTGCCTGCACTGCTGGTCGAAGCCCCTTCCTCCCCTCAACCCCCCCTTCTCCTTCTCCCGTCCTCCTCTCTATCCCTTCCTCGTCCCGCCGAACACCCACGGGGTTACCCCGTCCTGCACTGCTGGCGGAGCTGTTGCGATTCCGCTGCTGGTCCAAACCCCTCCCTCCTGCCTCTCGCTCCCTCTCTCACCCCTGCCTGCCCTTTACATCCCCCAGGTACGCCCACGCCCACCAAGCTCAACTCAACGCGCTGCTGGCTGAGGCTGAGCGTTGGCGTTTCAGAAAGGCAACTGTTGGCGTGATGCTGCCGGCCAACGTGGAAGAGGTGTCTGGGGCAGGTGATGTGAGGAGAGGAGGTGGGGGGAAGGGAAGGTTGGGCAGGGTGCTGGGAAGGATGGTGGGAGGTTGATGATGTGAAATGGTATCGAGAAATCTCGAGAATTTCTCTTTTATATGAATCGTTTTGAACTCTTGAAGTTTCTTTCGTTCTGTCCTGTAGGTGGTCGTGACGCGGCTCTCTCATCTGTCCTTTTAGACGCCACCACAACACACGCTGCATTCCCGTTCTCGTGGCTCTTTCCTTTGGCCAAGGTAAGGCGGGAAGGGGGAGGTGGGGAAGGTGAGGTGGGGAGGGTGAGGTCGGGAGGGTGAGGTGGGGAAGGTGAGGTGGGGAAGGTGAGGTGGGGAAGGTGAGGTGGGGAAGGTGAGGTGGGGAAGGTGATGTGGGGAAGGTGAGGTGGGGAAGGCGAGGTGGGGAAGGTGAGGTGGGGAGGGTGAGGTGGGGAAGGTGAGGTAGGGGGGAGGGTGAGGTGGGCAAGATGAGGTGGGGAAGGTGAGTAAGGGCTGAGTTGTACGAGGGGGAACAAAAGCACACAACATTCCCATGGTTGTGGTTGCGGCTCTCTCATGATGCTGCCTCGCCAAGGTGAGCACAGGTGTTGAATGTTGTGGGGTTTTGTGCTATCAGGCAGCACTTAGTGAATTGAGGAACGTGGGGTGCTAATGCATGCGTTAGGGATAACGAACGTAGCACTCCTGTGGTCGTGGCCCTCTTTCGACTATGCCTGGCCAAGGTGAGTGCAGGTGTTGAATGTGGTGAAGTGTGGTTCTATCATGTAGCACACGGGCAGGTGGGTAACCAACACATGGGGGAGTGTTTGCTGAAAGGTAAGGCACGCGGCATTCCCGTGGTGGTTGGCTCTCTCCAGGTGCCGCCTGGCCAGGGTGAGGCGGGCAAGGTGAGGCGGGCAAGGTGAGGCGGGCAAGGTGAGGCGGGCAAGGTGAGGCGGGGAAAGTGGGGGATGCATATGCGAGAAGTACTATTCGCAGCATTCCTGTACTCATGGCGTTCTCCAGGCGTTGCCGACTGGCCTAGTTGAGTGCAGCTGTTGAATGTGGTGCTGGGTAACACACCGTAAGGTGAGGGCTGGTGAGAGAGCATGTATGAGGGGTGGTGAGAGAGCATGTATGAGGGGTGGTGAGATAGCATGTATGAGGGGTGGTGAGATAGCATGTATGAGGGGTGGTGAGAGAGCATGTATGAGGGGTGGTGAGATAGCATGTATGAGGGCTGGTGTGCGCAGCGTTCCCGTGGTTGTGGCTTTTTAGCGCCGCCTGGCCAAGATGACTGCAGGCGTTGAGTGTGGTGGGATGTGGTGCGATCAAATAGCACATGTTGACGTGAGGAATGGGGGCCTGCACGCATGACGGGTGGTGAGTGAATGCACCACTCCTGGGGCCGTGGTTCTCTCTTACCGCCGCCTGACCAGTTGAGTGCAGGCTGCTGTGACGCTACATGGAGTGCTCACCAGGTAAAGTTGGGTTGGTAATGCTATCAGGTACCTCTCCCGGCGATGCGTTCGTATCTGGTAACGGGGGGGCATATCTGGTTTTGGGGGGCCATAACTGGTATTGGGGGGGCATATCTGGTAATGCATATCTGGTACCTCACGTTGAGGTGGGCAGTGAGGGGAGTGCATGCGTGCAGCATCCCCATGCCTGTGGACCTCTGCCGGTAAAGAGAGTGCAGGCTGAGGTGACTCCAGGTACATTGAGGTAAGGTCAAGCATCAATATGCATCCCCGTAAAGATGGGGCGGGGCACGTTGAGACGCTTGCCCCTTCTTTTGTCCTGCCTCTCTCCAACCGCTGTCCGACCAAGGTGAGGGCAGGTCAAGATGCAAGGAACGTGGGGGTTGGTGGGGTGTTGTGTTGGTGCTATCAGGTAGCACCCATAAGGTAAGGTGTGGAATGGGGGGCGTGCATGCGCAGGGATTAGTTACTAATTTTTTAAAACTTGCAGCAACCGCCGCAAGGGGTCTGCATGACACAGATCCTTCAGATTTGAGAATAACCCAAAGGCTATGGTGTTGGAGTTTGTTTTGAGCTTTAACCCTCATAGTGTCACAATATTCCACTTTTACCGAACGTTAGTGTGTTTCCCATGGTTCTGTTTTGGGTCTCAGCTACTAGGACCAAGAGGAAAGTTCACTGGAAAAAACGAACCGCAGAGGCCCGGTTCGGGCAAAATGATTTGGTTTGTTGGCTATTTAGCGAACCACCAACTGGCTTCGTGCAAATCCATTTCGTCCACGACAGGTTCGGTTTGGTAGGTAACCGGTTCGGATTGTAAGGGCAAAAAACGAACCGGTTCGGCTCGGTACCCCTCGCAGGCCTACGTGGGGGTTACTTACTACATGCCTCTACCATTCCCCCGATCGACTTTTTAGAATTCTCAGCAGTTGCTTACAAGGGGTGTGCATGTGTGGGGGTTACTTCTACACCCACAAATCCCCTGGTCATGTCTGTCTTCAAATGCTGCCGCGTGGCTCTTTCCATTCACTCTTCCTAGGCCAAAGTGAATGCTGTATGCATGCCCCACGCGGCATGCATGCCCTATGCTATATGCATGCCCCACCTTCACCAGCTTGAATGACTGAAATGGGGTGAACGCATGCACAGCCCCCAGCGCATTGCATTGCACATCGCACCCACGCCTCATCTTTTCCGCTTGCATCCTCCCATCTCCTCCTTACCTGCCAGGCACTAAACTGCGCGCGCTGTTTTGTGAGTGCCGTGGCCTTTTTAGACGAGAAGGGGGCGCAGCTCAAGAGTGTTTTGGCGCAGAAGGGAAGAGAATTATGGTGGGTGGGAAAGGAGGGGCAGGACGGGCAGGAGGGGCGGGAGGCTGTTGGTGCGTGAGAGATATCGGGTGGTAGGTGTGTGCACTGGCATCCCATCTTCTGTTTCCTCACGCCTACCACCATCTCACTCCAGCCACCATATCTGTCACGCAAGAAATGAGCCTAATGGGGCAGCAAGAGGTTCAGGCAGCCTGGCAGGCTGCAGCCAAGACTTGCTAGAGTCAAGTGCCGACTCTTTTGGGGGAGAACTAGTACCTACAATAACCCAATGCAGACAGTAATCTCACTGCAATACATAAGCTGGCATTCGTTGTAGCGCGTGAATGACTACCCGCGATGGAACTTGGCGAGTGAGCTTGTAGGGTCTGCGGTTCATTACGTTGAGTTCTGTAAGGAATTTTAGTATTACAGTGTAGGCTCTCTATCGCTTGTATTCCAAGGAGTTCGCTTATACTTTTTCGGCCCGAACCACTCCCGAGTCGCCACCGCAACTTTCGCCGCCTCCGAAGCTCTGCCTAGCTCGTCTCTGCCTATTTCAGTTTCGTTTTAGACATTTGTAGACAACACAAGTGGTATTCTGCTGTATTCCAGTTTATAAAATCCCCGCACCCATAACAATTTGTTTCTCGATCACCAAAGGCCGCCACATATTCGATTTCATAGATTGTGTCAGACCGCCAAAAGGCAAACACGGTCCGCACGCTAGATTCTGTAGGAGCCGCGTTCAGGATCAGTAAGTGCGAGCTGGGGGGCAACAATGGGACGTCAGGAGTGGCTAGATGGTCGTCGCGTCGAAGCGACGGACGGGGCGACGAGAGTCGCGACGGACGGTGACGGAACAGCGAGTGTAGATGATGAGAACGAGACGAACCGACTCGCCATGCCGGAGAGGGCCGCAACGGCAGAGGCGCGAGGAGAAGCTGCAATGGCGGGTTGGGCAAGCACGCGCGCGCAGGCGAGTGCGGGCAAGAGCTAGAAGAGCAACGGTGACCATCGCATCAAATCGAAAGTCAGGCGATTAGAGAGCGACTGTAGTCGATTAAAAGCGGCGACCGTATAGAACGAGAGAGGTAGATACGAGAACCCATTCGCAATGGCGGAAAGCCGCGAAAGCAGGGGCGCGAGGAGCAGCAGCAATGTCGGGTGGGGCAAGCACCTGGGCTCTTGGCGGCGGCAATAGCAAAGGCAGCGGGAGCGGCGGTCGCTGCGAGCAGCACAGGCCGAAGCGGCGGCGGCGGCGGCGGTGGCGACGCGAGAGGCGGGGGAAGCCAGCACTGGTTGCGCTCCGCTTGGATCATTTCCTCGCCGCTGCACCCCCCGCCGATGCCACCGCTTCCGCCGCCACCCCGCTGCGCGCGCGCCTGTGCCACCGCCTCCGCAAGAATCCGCGGAAATCAGTTCGCGCGTCAGTGGGAGCGATGGGGAGCGCGGATGGGGGCAGCAGTGACGGGCGCCATCGTCACCGTTACCGCCGCTATCTCCGCTACCTTTGACGCGTCCCACGCCCCGAAGAAGTTTTCCCCACGGCTTTCACGCCATTGGCTGCTCCCTGCTGCACGTGCGCTCCCTGCTGTAGGGAATGATTGACGGGAGGACCCGAAGCATGTTGAATGCGCTCTTTCTAACGGAGGTGAGGGGTCCGCGCCCGTGCCCGCCTGGATCGCTTCCTCGCCGCCGCCCCCGCCACCGGCGCCACCGTCACCGCTACCGCCGCAATCCCCGCTGTGCGCGCCTGTACCGCCGATTCGCGAAAAGTCGCGGAAATTGGTTCTACGCGCCGCTGGGACGGGGAGCGCGGATGGGGGCAGCAGCGACGGGCAGCTGCGCCGGGGGGGGGAGATATCAAGTACCTGAGTATTGATGGTGATATCAAGTACTATCCGGGATGTTCATGCGTGAGGGGCAAGCACGCATCAATCCAGACGCCATCTGTCCATGGTAAGTGCAGGTGTGTGGGGTGTTGTTTCTGTCAGGTTCCATACGGTTCAGCTGGTTACGCCGATTAGGCCGGTTAGGCTTGCTAGGGTTGCTTGGCTTGCTAGGATGGTTAGGGCTGGTTGGTTAGGGCTGGTTGGTTAGGCTGGTTAGGCTTTGCCTGGTTAGGCTTTGCCTGGTTAGGCTTTGGCTGGGTAGGCTTTTGCTGGTTAGGCTTTTGCTGGTTAGGTTTTTGCTCATGAGTGCAGGCTTTCATAGTTAAGTGTTTTCTCATATGGTAACCTCACATGGTAAAATCACATGGTAACCTCACATGGTAACCTCACATGGTAACCTCACATGGTAACCTCACATGGTAAAATCACATGGTAACCTAACATGGTAACCTCACATGGTAACCTCACATGGTAACCTCACATGGTAAAATCACATGGTAACCTAACATGGTCACCTCACATGGCAACCTCACATGGTAACCTCACATGGTAACCTCACATGGTAACCTCACATGGTAACCTCACATGGTAACCTCACATGGTAACCTCACATGGTAACCTCACATGGTAACCTCACATGGTAACCTCACATGGTAACCTCACATGGTAACCTCACATGGTAAAATCACATGGTAACCTCACATGGTAACCTCACATGGTAACCTCACATGGTAACCTCACATGGTAACCTCACATGGTAACCTCACATGGTAACCTCACATGGTAACCTCACATGGTAACCTCACATGGTAAAATCATATGGTAACCTCCCTGTTAGGCTTCTCACTGGCTACCCTGCCATATTGCCCTCACCCTCTCCTCAGCTCTTTCCCATGCAACTTAAAAAGCAACTCAAAAAATTTCCCCTTCATTCCTGTCAGGCCTTGAACTGTCCCTGCTGCCGCACGAACGCTGTAGCCATTCTTTACGAAATTGGGGCTGTGCCTGTTGCAGTGCTCGCCTCCTCATCTCTTGCTTGCTCTCCGCCCGTCTGCATTGCTCTCGCTCACCCCTTACCTCCTTCCCTTTCAATGTAGTATTCTCACTCTCCTCCTGCCTCTCCCCCTTCCGCTGCAGTGCGCTCACTCTCGCCTCACCTCCATCCCTATCACTGAAGTGCCCTCACTCTCCTTCACCTCTTGCCTTGCCGTCAACCTCTCCTCGCATCTTTCCCTTTAGCACCCTCATCCACACCTCATCGCTTATCATTGCATCCCTGCCATGCCTTGAACCTCCCCCGCTGACGGGTGAGTGCCGTGGAAATTCTGGATGGCAGCGGGGCAGCGGGGCTCACAGCCTTCTCAACAACGTTCTGGCAGCGGCGCAGCAGGCGAGAGAGCTGTGGCAGGAGGGGCAGGAAGGGCGGGCGTGGTATTGGCATTGGCAATACCACGCACTGATGAGTGCGCGCATCAGTGCATCGGGGAGTTGGAGCGTGCATTGGCATCACCGATGCACTGATGCGCGCACGCAGGCTGCTCACGAGCGTTCTGGCGGAGGCCGAGAGGGGGAGGCAGCTGCGGCACGAGGGGAAGGAAGGGCAGCAGTGGCAGGAAGGCAAGGAAGGGCAGGAAAAGCAGGAAGCAGGGGAGCAAAGCGTGTTGGCAGAGCGGGAGCAGGGGGGGTAGCTGTACCAGGAGGGGCAGATGGAGCAGGAAGCGGTTGGTGCATGAGTGGTGGGGCGGTGCGAGCAGTGTGCTGGCAGAGGTGGAATGGGTAAGAGAACACTGAGGCGTGGCAGGAGGGGCAGCAAGGGCAGGAAAAGGAGGTGTTTTTTCTTTACACGCACACTCGTGGGGAGTACAGCCTGCCGGCTGAGGGGTTGTCTGGTGGAGGCACAACCAGGAAGGCAGCTGTGGCAGGAAGTGCTCAACCAGGCAAGTGGAGTGGCAGAGAGAGCTGTAGCAGGAGGGGCAGGCGGAGAGTGCTTTCATTAGCCTGACTCCCACCTTCTGCCCATATCATGCCTCTTGCCTCGTATCTCTTGCCTCTTGCCCATCTCCCACACACTCACAAGACACGCTGCCTGCTCAGGACCGTTCAGGCAGGGACTGTTATGGCTGGAGGGAGCCTGGCAGGAGGCAGAAGGTAATGGAGAGACAGGATGGGCATGAGGGAGGGGAAGGAGAAGGAGCGCTTATGCAGAGGTCGACTGGAGAGTGATGGGGCACAGAGCGTTCTTTATGAGGCCAAGACTCGCTAGAGTCAAATACGGGGTAATTCGGGAGAGTACCAAATACCGTAGATAATTTGGGTAGATTTGTTTTGTGTGCTCCTCTGTAAATAAAGTGTAAAATTCTGTATCTTAATATCTACAAATTTCAAAATTAAACTGCACTAGCTAGGTCCGTATGCCAATTTGTTGACAGCACTCTCCAGCAACAATGCGGTAGCTGTCAATTCATTCTGCTAAGTTAGTGGAAAGAAATATATTTTCTACAGTATGCCTACACTAGCGCGAATGTTCCGAGAAGTTTGCGTCAGCTGGTTCGGCCTACGTCTGCGTCCCGAACCACTTTCGAGCCGCTCCGCACTTTTCGCCAGCTCCCGAGCCTCGTTCAACCGCGGTTCTCGCCTAGCTCGGCGCTACCTATTTCACTCTCGTCTTTAAAACTCTTAGGACATGCAGTTCTGTAGTTCCGTAGCTTGTAAGAACCTCGCACTGATAACAGTTCGATATTTCCAATTGGCCTAAATCTCGTCACGCCACCACTTGGCAAACATTGGCCACTGGCTAGAGTCTGTAGTGCACAGGACCCGCGTTCACTATCAATACATGAGAGGTGGTCTCAAAACGGCTCGATAGCGGTAGCGTCAGAGCGCCGGACGGCGACGAAACCGCGAGTGTCAACGGCGAAAATGGAAGAGTAGACGGCGAGAGAGCGACACTCAGAGCGACAGTAGACGACGAGAGCGAGAACATCCCAAAATTGTAAAAGTTGGGGTTGGGGTAGCGGGCAAGGAAGTGGGTACTTCGGAGGTTGGTTCGAAGTATCTCCAGAGTCGATGCAGTGTAAACACTAACATTTTCGACCGCTCTGAACGAACCTCTCATGCCGAGCCTAGCACCCAACAAACTGAACACAATGTTGCTGGCTAACCAACAATTACATACCAGACACATCGGCCAATGAGTGCATCCCGTACCTCCCGCACAACAAAGTTAACGACCCCACCTACGCTCAATGTAGCCACGATAACACTACCTTGCCTGAATAACGGACTGTTCATCAGTGCAGTAAAGTCTTCCTGCCCGTTTTTCTCGACATTGGCCGTCAAATACATGCCGCTAGTACTATAAAAGCCCATTTGCGTCACTGGTTCTAGTGACACTGTCAAACATATGCTGCATATTGTCTAGGCTGTAGTGGGGTAGCCCATATGGGGTACAACCCAAATTAGGGTTTACTACTTGTACTCCTGCATGCTGCTAGTTCAACCATTCCTGCTGCTAGATTCTAACATGGTTTCAGAGCACTAAGGTCCGTAGGACCGTTTTTTTTCGGGCCCACCTACCGCTGCGGTTACCGCGCTACCCCACGTACCTGCCTGCCTTGCCTTGCCTTGTGACGTGCTGCACTATGCGCGCCGTCCAGCAGCCCTAGCGCTGCCTCCTGCTGCCCTAGGCCAGCGCGCTGCCCCTAGAGGCCCGTAAGGCCCGCGCGCCGCCCCTACACGCCCGTCAGGCCCGCAAACAGCCCCTGCAGTCCGCTAAGCACGCTGCTCCCGCGCGCTGCCCGCACCGAGCCGCGCGCAGCCCGCACCGAGCCCACGCAGCCCGCGCCGAGCCGCGCGCAGCCCGCTGCAGCCGCGCGCAGCCCGCACCGAGCCGCGCGCAGCCCGCTGCAGCCGCGCGCAGCCCGCACCGAGCCGCGCGCAGCCCGCAGCTGCCGCGCGCAGCCCGCGCCGAGCCCACGCAGCCCGCGTCGAGCCGCGCGCGGCCTGCTACGGCCTCGCGAGGCCCGCGCGCGGCCCGCAGCAGCCCGCGCCGAGCCGCGCGCGGCCTGCTACTGCCTCGCGCGGCCCGCGCGCGGCCCGCAACAGCCCGCGCCGAGCCGCGCGTGGCCTACTACGGCCTAGCGCGGCCGCGCGCGGCCTGCAGCAGCTCAGCGCGCTGTCAGCGCAGCCCGCGCCGAGCCGCGCGCGGCCCTCTGCCTCGGCCCCGACCTGCCGCTGATGCGGCCTCGCCCTGCAGCTACCACGGCCCCAACCTGCCGCTGATGCGGCCTCGCCCTGCAGCTGCCACGGCCCCGACCTGCCGCTGATGCGGCCCCGCCCTGCAGCTGCCACGGCCCCGACCTGCCGCTGACGCGGCCCCACCCTGCTACTGCCGCTGAAGCGGCCCCGCCCTGCAGCTGCTTCGGCCCTGCTCTGCAGCCGGTGTTGCGGCCCCGACGTCGCCGCTGTCGTGCGCCTACTCGGCCGCCGCCCGTCGAGCGCCGGCCCTGCTCGCCCGGTGAGCGCCTGCTCTCCCAGCCTTTGGTGAGCGCCTGCCTGCCTGCCTGACGGCCTGCCTGTCTGCCTGCCTGCCTGCCTGCCTGCCTGCCTGCCTGCCTGCCTACCGGCCTGCCTGCCTGCCTGCCTGCCTGCCGGCCTGCCTACCTGCCTACCGGCCTGCCTATCTGTCTGCCTGCCTGCCGGCCTGCCTGCCTGCCTGCCTGCCTGCTTGCCTGCCTGCCTGCCGCGCCTGCCCTGCCCGCGCTACTGCTGCTGCTACTGCTACTGGCAGGTGGCCAGATGCAGCTCCAGCGACGTTCCCGCGAGCCTCTCACGCCCCAGCAGCTTAGTGAGTGGTATACTAGCTGGGGTTGTCGCGGTAGCCGTCGTAGCTGTCGCCCTGGAGCTGGTCAGTTGGGAGCGTCTGGCAGTGGCCAGCTGCAGCTGCAGGGGCGTCCACGCGAGACACTTACACCACGGCAGCTCCAGGAGTTGTACGCTCAGTGTAGCAGGTCTACGCGTACAGTTCGCTGCCCGTACGTCATTCGCACATGTGATAGGACTGGTCAGCCTTGTGGGACGCTTGGTCACACACAGTCCCGCTGCTTCGCCCGTCTGAGCGACGACTGGCGCACAGTGTTTGGCGACGAGGCTGAGCTCCCCACCTGGCTGGAGCTGCATGGACAGAGGGTAGATATCTTTGCGCTTGACTATGATGCTATTCTCACTACCATGTATGCATTGCCTACTAGTGTTGACCGTGCCTGTTACCTGTGCGTACCGCCTGACCCTGGTGAGGCTGCTGCTCTAGGTGCTAGTGCGTCTCCTGCTCTAGGTGCTGGTGAGGCTGCTGCTCTCGGTGCTAGTACGTCTACTCCTCTAGGTACTGGTGAGGCCGTGGCTTCAGGTGCTGGTGAGTCTGCTCTCTCTGGTACTGCGCCCACTGCGGTCTCGCACACCTTCACCCTTGACTCAGGAGCTTCCCGCTCCTTCTTTCGCGACTGCACCACACTCACGCCGCTTAGTCGGCCAGTTCCAGTCTCCCTGGCGGACCCCTCCGGGGGTCCAGTCCTTGCCCACTACTCCACGGTTCTGCCGTGTCCGGCCGTCCCGTCCGGCTCGCTGTCAGGTCTTTACCTCCCCTCGTTCTCTACGAACTTGGTGAGTGGAGCTGACCTCCAGGATGGGGGGGTTGACCAGTTCACTCCTGCGAGTCAGCGAGTGACTCACTGTACGTGTGCTAGGACGGGCCGGCACTTGGCCACGTTCACCCGTGCACCTGGCTCGAGTCTGTACACACTGACCACTGAGTCCCCTCAGGTAGCTGCGTCCGCGTCTACGTCTGGTCAGCTGGCGGCCCCCTGCGAGTGTCGCGCTTTGTCGCACGACACTCTCTTGTGGCACCACCGCCTTGGTCACCCCTCTTTGCCTCGCCTACGTCGCATGCACTCTCGCTCCCTGGTCTCTGGTCTTCCCAGGTCTCTGCCTGCCCTCCCTCCCTCGCCTGCGCCGCCCTGCATTCCTTGCGTCGAGGGGCGGCAGCGCGCCGCTCCTCACTCCTCCTCGTTTCCCCCGACAGAGGCTCCACTGCAGACGCTCCACCTGGACGTGTGGGGCCCAGCCCGCGTCCAGGGACAGGGCCACGAGCGGTACTTCCTGCTGGTTGTCGACGACTACACGCGTTACACCACGGTCTTCCCCTTGCGGAGCAAGGCGGATGTCCCTGCTGTTTTGATCCCCTGGATCCGCGCAGTTCGTCTCCAGCTCCGCGAGCGGTTCCAGCGGGACTTTTCTGTCCTGCGTCTGCACTCTGACAGAGGTGGTGAGTTCTCCTCCGACCTCTTGGCAGCCTACTGTGCGGAGCGCGGCATCACCCAGTCGTTCACGCTTCCGGCCTCTCCGCAGCAGAATGGGGTTGCTGAGCGCCGCATTGGCTTAGTCATGGAGGTCGCTCATACCTCCATGATCCATGCGGCTGCCCCCCATTTTCTGTGGCCGTTTGCGGTCCGGTACGCCGCGCATCAGCTCAACCTCTGGCCCCGTGTCTCCTTGCCGGAGACCTCGCCCACACTGCTGTGGACGGGGAAGGTTGGCGATGCGTCGCGTTTCCGGGTCTGGGGTGCTCGTGCCTTTGTCCGCGATACCACCGCGGACAAGCTCTCCGCCCGCGCTGTTCCCTGTGTCTTCCTTGGCTTTGTCCCTGACGCGCCTGGTTGGCAGTTTTATCACCCCACCTCGCGTCGTGTCTTTGCGTCTCAGGACGTCACGTTCGACGAGTCGGTT